AAGCAAAAATGTAGGTAAGTATATTTATTATTATAGGAGTTCTGTGCAGTGTCCGTCGCGCTCTCTTTTCTTATTTACTTGTAAATTTAGCCTTATAGGTGGTTGTTGTGCTTGTTGGTAGTACCTGTTGGTCACCTATTTATATACAATAAGTGTTGTCGTGATGAAATCAGAAAGAAAACGTTTTTATAAACTGGAGTTGCAATGTTTAGTTTAAGTATACCTTGATGGAAATTAATTAATAGCCCAACTACGTATAAATATTTCCATTGCAAGAGCGATATCTAAAAGAAATTTATATACAATGCATTTGTATATGTGTCTTGATGACGAAGAGCCTTGGACGTTTCTCCCCATTGTCGATCTGCACCTGGTCATAAACTACATTAATTGGTTAATCGTAGTTAAAAAGTTTTATTGTGATTATTTTTGTATAATATCTCCCTCTTCTTTCTTTGTGTTGTGTGTCGTTTTCCACCAAAGTCGCCTTCTGTTATTTCACACTTGTTGCGCATCTGATGTTAAAATGTAGTTACACTTTGTACAAATAAATCGACGATTCCGGAAGTGGTAATTATTAACTACGCAGGAGATATTGTAGTGTAACAAGTGAACGTGCAAATAAATGAGCACTTACTAACCCTGACCTTCCTGTGACGTATACATAGAAATGCATAGCAAGTACCTAAACCTAAAGTATTGTGCTAACTATGCATTTTCGTTATATGTATTATATAATCAAACAAAGCTTCTAAGTGTGAATATCATTAACTTTCGTCCTAATGACTATTGCTTTTGTGTTCGTAAAATTTCACATTATTCGTATTGAAAAAAGATAAGTACTACCCTAGTATATAATTAATTACCTTTTTGTAACGCCTTTATTTTATTGGAAATAATTACCGCTGCAATAATAATAATAATAATAATAATCGGAATTTCTCCGCCGCATGGAAAGACTACAGAAAGGCATTCGACTCGGTGCCCCATACATGGCTAAAGAGAGTCCTCCGGCTGTACAAAATTGACTGTACAGTTGGAGACTTCCTCGAGCAGTGTATGGGGCAATGGAGTACGATCCTTTGCTATCTGGGCGAGCGGATGATGGCTGCGGAGAACCACATAAGGATAAGAAGGGGTATCTTCCAAAACAATTGTCTGAGTCCAATCTGGTTTTGCCTCTCCCTGAACCCTCTCAGTACTTTACTGGAGGGCTCCGGGAGGGGATTTCAGCTTCGGAAAGGAGGTACAAAAGTGACCCACGTTTTCTATTAGGATTACCTCAAGTTATTCGCCTCCAGTCGCTCCCATCTTATGGAATTGCTAAACATCACTTGTGAATTTAGCAGTTCTATTGGAATGGAGCTGGGAACGGATAAGTGTGCGGTCCTCCATGTTGAAAGGGAAAGGGTTGCTAACCTGGCATAGACTTATCTATGCCCGTCAACTTAAGGACCCTTTCCGAGGCTGAAACATACCGATACCTGGGTATGTCACAGAACATCGGTATCGATGAGGCTGGTATGAAACAGTTTGCGACGTGTTTTATGCACGCTTGACCAAAGTGCTTAACTGCCATTTGTCCGGTGTGAATAAGACACACGCATATAACGGTTGGGTCATGCCTGTCCTCATGTATACCTTTGGCATACTCAGGTGGACCCAGACTGGACTTAACGCCCTGGATAGAAAAGTCCGCACTACCATGACGTCCCATAGGATGCATCATCCGAGATCGTCGATAATGAGGCTGTACTTGCCGCGAAAGCATGGTGGACGTGGTTTTCTGAGCGCGCTCACCATGCATAATCGCGAAGTGTGCAGCCTCCGTGATTACTTCCTGGCGAGATCGGATGATCCATTCTATAATGACGTCATTTCTAGTGATAAAGGGCTTACCCCTCTATCCTTAGCCAACGAGCAATGGCAGGACCCAGCAGTGCTTAGCATTTCCGACCGGGAGACCGTACGGAAGGAGAAGGAGCTCCACGGGAGGTTCTATAAGGCTCTACATGAGCCTTTCGTAGACACAGTAGCCTCCCTCCACTGGCTACGCTTTGGTGATCTGTTCGGGGAAACCGAGGGTTTTGTCTGTGCAATACAGGATCAGGTTATTAAGACCAACAACTATCGGAGATACATCCTAAAGGATGGCACTGTGGACATCTGTCGAGCTTGTCGCCATCCCGGTGAGTCACTTAGGCATGTCATCTCCGGTTGTTCGGCGCTTTCTAACTCTGAGTACTTGCACAGGCACAACCTAGTAGCCAGAATTCTTCACCAGGAGCTCGCTCTGAAATACGGTCTCGTGGATCGGAAATTGCCGTATTACAAGTACTTGCCGGAAGCCGTGCTCGAAAATGATCGCGCCAGGCTCTATTGGGACCGGGCCATCATCACAGACAGGACTATTATTGCGAATAAGCCTGATATTGTGCTGATAGACCCGGCACAGTCAAGGATATTTTTGATCTACATTACCATTCCGTATGACGAGAACCTCGTGAAAGCTGAAACAGACAAGCAAACAAAATATCTGAACCTGGCTCACGAGGTGACCGACATGTGGGGTGGTCTGCCGACCGAAATTATTCCTGTAGTCGTCTCTGCAAACGGGCTAATCCCAGTCAGCCTCTCGGGTCATCTGAGGCGACTGGGACTACGTGGCGGACCGCTCCGGGCTCAAATGCAGAAGGCGGTGCTCCTCGATACCGCCCGCATCGTCCGCCGGTTTCTTTCCCTTTCCCCCTAACCCTCGGCCGTTTGGTCTCCCCTGCCGAGGGCCTCCATCTGGTTGGGCTTTTATTTATTTATTTATTTTTATATTTATTTTATGTTATTGATATTTATGTATATTTATCTTTTCATTTTCATTTATAATTATATATTTATAGAACCCAACCAGATGAGAAAACTATATAGATACCCCACAATAATAATAATAGGTAGGTCTCCCCTGCCGAGGGCTTCCATCTGGTTGGGCTTTTATTTATTTATGTATTTTTGTATTTATTTTATTAATATTTATGTATATTTATCTTTTCATTTTCATTTATAATTATATATTTATACATCCCAACCAGATGAGAAAACTATATAGATACCCCACAATATAATAATAATAGAAATACGTAATGCAAATCTAAAACTTTAGAAGTCTCCATCTATTCCTCCATCCATTACAGTCTACTCGTATAAAACTCCTCTGCTTGACATAGCCCTTTCCCATAGATTGCCCCATAGGGAGGATAACTTAGATTAGGTCTTTGTTGTCTTTATTACGTCTACGGACCAATATATCGAATTACGGTCGTATTTATTATGTTAGGCGCAGATGACAGTTGCATTATTTACCTGTTTCTACACAATGTGATTTACTTTTTAATTTATTGCAACCTTTATTAACCCAATGGTTACAGGTCCTTTCAAGAATGCACTGCATAAATGACCCATTTCTTGAAAAGTTTGTCTACCGATACCACGCGGAACAGGCGGCTTGTGAGTGCCGAGCCACCAGTGAGATCTCTCCATCACCAGTCTGTGGGATTTAAGAGCGTCGCTTTGGAATGCTTAAACCGTCATTTGGTCAGGTCGCGTTCTTTTGATCTTTTGCGTCGCTTTTTATGTTTGTTATTATAATAAGTCGTGGGAGAATACCTAGTTGAACTAATGTAGGTCTAAATAAATCTTTTTTGTAAATATCTCCTCTTATTTTTGGCATTTTTGAAATTTAGACATCTAGCCTTTTCAAAACAAGATCAAAATACACACAGTATAAAAATGTGTCAATCTTTTTTCAGCACGGTGAAGAAAGATTGACATTGACATATTGTTCGCCGTCTTATAAACCTAAAATGAAACTTCATCACGAAATTCATCATTCTATTCTATTCATTTAAAATGATTTTCAAAATTTTATTGTGGCTAAACGTATAGTGACTATCATCATCATCATCATCATTACAGCCCTTCACAAGTCCACTGTTGAACATAGGCCTCCCCCAAGTAATGCCACAAAGCACGGTCCTGAGCCACCTGCATCCATCGACTTCCTGCATGTCTTACCAGGTCGTCACTCCATCTAGTGGGGGGTCCCCCTACACTACGCCTACCGGTACGAGGCTGCCACTCGAGAACCTTTCTTCCCCATCGGTTATCGGTTCTTCGAGCTATATGGCCGGCCCATTGCCACTTCAGCTTACTAATCCGTTGGGCTATGTGATAGACTCAGAAATGAGGATATCCGCAGTAAATAGTGACTATACTGGTGACCTTTTTTACCGTCTGGAAAAAATAGGGTGAGGTAACATGTGAACGGAGTAGAAGCCTATGTCTTTAATATTTATAAAAAAATAAAGACAAAAATTTTTAATTCAATAAATAAATTAATTAAAATCAATCGAAATTCAAATCATATCCCTACCCTACACTGCTTTACGAACGGCAATGAAATAATCATCAGGCATCTTTGACCTTGTCACTTCGCAGGGTCACAGGCTCAAGGGCAAAGGGTAAAGTAATTGTTCAAAAAATTTTTCAAACGTTTAATGGAAATTTTTTGTAAAATATCAGTGTCATAGGCTTCTACTCCGTTCACATGTTATACCCTATTTTTCCAGACGGCAAAAAAGGTCATCTAGTATATTTTTTGATCTTAGTGTACTACATATTCTTTGTAAACTAAATGACAATCCTCAATTTATGAAAGATTTTTATAATCTAAAAAATTATTTTATTCATTGACATTGTTACTAAAGCCACTAAGAAAAACTTTCAGTGTTACGCTAGTATTTTGACATAGTTATTCATATATACATCGGATGCTTCGTGATTTTCATGGTATTTGACATCAGACGTAGGCAGGGTAGGGTAAATAAGTCTTTCTCCGCATACCTGTGACACAATAGCCCAGTTGATAGTTTCCGATACTTTTTGTAGATTACCTCTATAATCGGAAGAGAACCAGGAACGTTTACATACATATTAATCGTTACTTACAGGTTTCACTGACTTTCCTGTGTTGGATGCCAGTGCGAGTTCCACCGGGCTCTCCGGCGCAGATGCTCATGATTCTCCGCTGCGTGCGTCCTCTACGTATTTTCACGCTTGTACCGCATATGCGCAAGGTCGTTTACGAGCTTTGCCGTGGTTTTAAGGAAATACTTTTGGTAAGTACCGAAAACTACGGCCTCTTATCGAAAGAATTGGGATTAAAATATTAATATCAGTTATTAACAAAACAAAGTAATATTTACCGGAGGTACATGGCCAAGCATTTAGTAAATATTTGGACTTAGTTTTTAAAATTCAGCGAATTATAGTTTTAACTTAAAATTAAAATACAAATATATAAATAAATATTGCAATTAAAACCTCTCTAAAATAGTTAAAAAGGGAAAGTGCATTTAGTTCGCTAATATTCACTGCATGAAGTGAATGTTTTTTTGTTGTTGAATGGTCATTGAGTTCTTAAATTTTTTAGGTATCTACCCTCCTCATTTTACTGATGTTCGTGTTTGCAAGTTATGGCGTTCAATTGTACGGTGGGAGGTAAATTAAATTTTGTATATATAGCAGTTAAAGTTTTAAGTCTTCCAGGTTTAAGGTTTTCGTGGTAGAGGCAGGCTGTAGATATACATAACTGCAGCATGAATAAGTCGGCTTGACCGAGGAAGATCCACGCTTTTGCAGTGCTGTTTTTCGTTTATTGAGTGTAGAGAACTCGGGACCCCTTGTACTGGAAACAAGACATCCCAATGTAGATGTTTATGGACTGCAGCATCCACTTACCGGCAGGTGAATTGTGTGCTTGCTTGTTACGCTTAATCTATAAAGCAGATAAAACTTTGTAGTAATACAGTTTACACTGTACCATGTATTTTTGTAGTTTGAATTGAATGCTCTTTTTATCATATTATACTAGTAATCGCAGTAGAGGAGAAAAAGGAAAATTTAAAATCACACGAAACTACGAAATTTGTCGTTATTAAATAAATAAAATGTATAAGCGTTACAAATAATAATTATAAACATCTATCTATCTTAGCTTTCTGTATTATTCTAAATTATGTTATAATTCTTTTAAATTTAATTATGCCTATATATAGTCTCACCCTCTCCCATGCGCGCAATGTGCACCTACCAACATTTTTATTTCTTCTATCTTTATCAGTTTTGTTTGGTAAAAATGCCATAGGGCATTAAGTCCACCTTCAACTAGGGGTTAAAACCCCAGTTGAAGGTAAATAAAGGATAAATAGGTAAATAAAAAATAAATGAATAATATGATTAAATGCGAGTACAAAGTTTTACCTTCTCGTATTAATATATAAATTAGTAACTATACTACATACAATACAATATATACAATTTACAATAAAATATAGTAACTATATTTTATAAAATACGTTTAAAAAGTCCCGCTGGGTTTCTTGCTGGTTATTCCCAGGACAGAGGTTATTTTGCGAACCAGTAGTAACTAAAAAATGACTTTCAATAAGTATTATACAATAATGACTATTGAATAAAATCATTCATTTCATTTCATATATTATGGTCAAAATAGTATCAAACTCATGGGTGTAGCCATTTTTTTTTCAGGTCAGGTCCAAGGTTATTCAGACCGAACCCAGTTGAAGCATTGCTAAACAGCATTAGAATTTTTCAGCTCTTTCTTCCTAATCCTTAAGCTCCAAACTCCAATTTAAAGGGGAGGGGCACTAGAATTGCTAAAGGAATACATGCTTTCTTTTGAAGAAATGTTTCATTTTTATTAAGGCTTGCACGTTGCAATGATCCGACGATCGCGCGTCGTGAAGATTGTGTGGGCGTATTTATGCGACGCGTTTTTGTCACCAAAATGAAGATAAGACCTGGACCAAATGAAACTTTTCCATCAATGCTGGTGCCTAGAGTGTGGTATGTATTAACACAGACTTTTTCTAATGTTTTCGTGCTAGTAATTAATAAAATAGAATAAGTAACATATATACAATTGTTATGACTTTTGTTCTTTTATATATAATAATAATAAACAACTACTTAAAATCTAAGCCATTGTTGCCTAAGACCTTAATCGTTTTAATATTGTTTTACCCATTAAATAAAGCTAAGCCGTTCTGAATCTAATCCACATTAAAACTTAGCGAAAGATCGAGAACTGTTAAATTGATATTTCCTGTAAATATCTTCTAATAATAATTTTGCCTTGTGGTAACGGCGTAAAAGAGTCCATAACTTGATGGCATCCCGTGGGTGAGGTATGAGGCGACAGTGGGAAACTTAAATAAGACATAAGCAGCAGGTTCCCGATAACAACTCAATTATAATAAAAATAAACATGTGTGCAGCACACACGCGGTAGAAATGAAACCTTTAGAAAAAGAGAAAGAGATAATAAGAACCACTGTATTCTATCTCATTCTCTCGCAGGCTTAAATCCTTTAGACGTATTATATGATTGTCTCTTTTTACTGTCGCCTTTTCGTCTTATCGAGTATCAAATCACAACGATTCTAAAGAATTTTTCACTAATAAAAAAAACTACTGTGCAGAGACTGAGATAATAGGAAGTACTTAATAGTTAATGTATATAAGTAATGTATATATTTTATCTCATTCTCTCGCAGGTTAAATCCTATAGATGTATATGTTTGTCTCTTTTTAAGCCCCATTTACATTCAGCCACTGCCACTGCTCCTCGCGCTGCCGGCAATACTTCCCTAAATACTGCCGTAGCAGGATCGCGGGAAGTGTGTATTCACACTCTGCCCTACCACTCACATCGCTTTCGGCTTTTGACTATGGCGGACGTCGAAATAATTACAGCGTCCGCGCTGTGTCTTCTTGCAATACAAAATTATGTTAATAATTTAAAAAGATATCAAGTTCAAAAGAAGATAGATAGATAGATAGAAAATTTATTTGCTTAAAAACATGGTACATAAGATGATCAATGACGTGGAACTGACATGTTTTGCCATAATTGGCATGGAAAAATGATATGAAATACAGCTAATTACACAAACCCGATGTTGCTTAAAAGTTAGGTACACACATTCTTTTTGAATTCAAATATTATGTACAATTAAATACTTATACAGATCCACTCTATTTGAATTCTTATACAGTAAATTGTTCATAAATTATTATTTGAATTATTATATTATTGTTACATAAATAATATTAAATATTGTATGAGATTAGTTAAGCTATTATTATTTTATTAATTACACTTCAGTATAAACTAATTCGTAATTTTAATTACAATAAAATTATAATTTAAAAATCTCAGGCTATTATGCAAATATTACCTTTTAACTTATTTTACATTTTAATTAATAAATAATCAATATGAGTTACTAATCGTTTTTAGAAATAAAATGTCAATGTTCATTAATTCCTTAAACTAAATTTTATATTAATATAATAAATTTGACGAATTTATAATTAATTATGTACATAGGTACTATGTTAACTCAAAAAGAAAATTCGTATTCGTAGAAGATGATGAATTGTGGTTTTTATCGTTGAAATCCCATATAGTTTTTTCTGATTCCAGCAGTTCTAAAAACTTTATTGTATTTTCATTAATCCACTCGAAAGGCATTTTGGTAGATCGTATTTATTTAATAACAGGACGGCACGCACGTCCGTTCATCCAGGCGCTTGTCGCGAAGTGAGCGATGGAGCTGAATGTGAACACACACTGCCGCTCGCGCTGCCCGTCCTTTGACTTCCGCACGAAAAACCGACATTTCGGGCAGTGTCAGTGGCAGCGGCAGTGTCAGCGCGAGTAGCCTGTTTACATACTGCCCTGCTCACTGCCCTGCTCACTTCCCTGCCCAAACGGGCTGAATGTAAATGGGGCATTACATTCAGCCACTGCCACTGCTCCTCGCGCTGCCGGCAATACTTCCCTAAATACTGCCGTAGCAGGATCGCGGGAAGTGTGTATTCACACTCTGCCCTACCACTCACATCGCTTTCGGCTTTCGACTATGGCGGACGTCGAAATAATTACAGCGTCCGCGCTGTGTCTTCTTGCAATACAAAATTATGTTAATAATTTAAAAAGATATCAAGTTCAAAAGAAGATAGATAGATAGATAGAAAATTTATTTGCTTAAAAACATGGTACATAAGATGATCAATGACGTGGAACTGACATGTTTTGCCATAATTGGCATGGAAAAATGATATGAAATACAGCTAATTACACAAACCCGATGTTGCTTAAAAGTTAGGTACACACATTCTTTTTTGAATTCAAATATTATGTACAATTAAATACTTATACAGATCCACTCTATTTGAATTCTTATACAGTAAATTGTTCATAAATTATTAATTGAATTATTATATTATTGTTACATAAATAATATTAAATATTATATGAGATTAGTTAAGCTATTATTATTTTATTAATTACACTTCAGTATAAACTAATTCGTAATTTTAATTACAATAAAATTATAATTTAAAAATCTCAGGCTATTATGCAAATATTACCTTTTAACTTATTTTACATTTTAATTAATAAATAATCAATATGAGTTACTAATCGTTTTTAGAAATAAAATGTCAATGTTCATTAATTCCTTAAACTAAATTTTATATTAATATAATAAATTTGACGAATTTATAATTAATTATGTACATAGGTACTATGTTAACTCAAAAAAGAAAATTCGTATTCGTAGAAGATGATGAATTGTGGTTTTTATCGTTGAAATCCCATATAGTTTTTTCTGATTCCAGCAGTTCTAAAAACTTTATTGTATTTTCATTAATCCACTCGAAAGGCATTTTGGTAGATCGTATTTATTTAATAACAGGACGGCACGCACGTCCGTTCATCCAGGCGCTTGTCGCGAAGTGAGCGATGGAGCTGAATGTGAACACACACTGCCGCTCGCGCTGCCCGTCCTTTGACTTCCGCACGAAAAACCGACATTTCGGGCAGTGTCAGCGGCAGCGGCAGTGTCAGCGCGAGTAGCCTGTTTACATACTGCCCTGCTCACTGCCCTGCTCACTTCCCTGCCCAACAGGGCTGAATGTAAATGGGGCATTAGTGTCGCCTTTTCGTTTCATCGAGTCAAATCACACCGATTCTAAGGAATTTTTCACTTCAATAAAAAAAAAACAAGTGTGCAGAGACTGAGATAATAGGAAGTGCTTAATAGTTATTTTATATAAGTAATGTATATATTCTATCTCATTCTTTCGCAGGCTAAATCCTATAGATGTATATGTTTGTCTTTTTTAAGTGTCGCCTTTTCGTTTCATCGAGTCAAATCACAATGATTCTAAAGAATTTTTCACTTCAATAAAAAAACTAGCGCGCAGAGACTGAGATAATAGGAAGTACTTAATAGTTAATGTATATAGTTTCATCTCATTCTCTCGCAGGCTAAATCCTATATATGTATATGTGTGTCTCTTTTTAGTGTCGCCTTTTCGTTTCATCGAGTCTAACCACAATGATTCTAAAGAATTTTTCACTTCAATAAAGAAAAAACAAGTGTGCAGAGACTGAGATAATAGGAAGTAAATTTATATAAGTGATGTAGTATTCTATCGCATTCTCTTGCAGGCTAAATCCTGTAGATGTATATGTTTTTTTTTAGTGTCGCTTTTTCGTTTCATCGAGTCAAATCACAACGATTCACTTCAAAAACTGTTGCCAACCCGCCTGTCGATCGTGATAAATATGAGGCAATCTATAAGGGAGGCCTGTGTTCAGCAGTGGACTTCTAATAGGCTGTATTTATAATGATGATGATACTGAAATGAATTATTTATCTAATTCTGTTATATTACTGTTCATTTATTTTATATCAGTTGCGAAATTTTTCTTTTTTTGGTATTATCAGTAATACTCGTATAACGTTTGCACAGGGCAAATCCAAAACGATTTAACTTCGACAACATTGGCGATGCACTTTTGACATTATTTGAAGTACTCTCATTCAAAGGATGGTTGGATGTCCGTGATGTGTTGATCAAAGCTCTTGGACCCGTGAGTATATGTACATTTTTGTTTCAATAATATTGTTTAATGGTACTTGTGGAAATACAGTGTGGCTGGTGATTAAAAATACCAATTAGGATGTGGAATGTATTTATTATTCCACACACAGCAAATGTATAATCATATTACATACTCTTAATCGTTAAACTTCTTCGGTGAGGTCTTTTACTAACGCGTCCCCAAAATAATTAATTCTCGCAGGCTTTTATACCCAATAAACGCTGATTTACATACACATTAAAAAGTCAAGTAATTGATTAAATTTTAAATAAATTTCAAGCGACTCAATTTACAATTTTACACGTTTTCAACACTTTATATTTGTTGAGCTCTTTAGTTAGCCCGATAGACAACCAACAACACATTCCTGTCATAATTTCAGTCATTAAGTTTCATTCATTTAATTCGGTCGCCCAGTGATCGAAATTCGATCTTAATTTATAATGTTTTTACGTTTTTATATTATGCAAACTATATTTCATGTTCAACGTTACTTAAAAGCATAGATATTGTATGGTTACGTGCCATTTTATTAATTTTATGATATTTTATTGAAAAAGAAAAATTTATATACTTAGCTCATTCAGTATTTGTTTTCAACCTATTACACCTCGAATGGAAACGGTATTGTTAGAAAATTATATATAGATACACTTTAATACTTGTTTACTTGCACGCTAAATTTTAACTTACAACTGATTACTAAATTTATTGCATCTAGCATCAATAAGTTATTACGCTTATTTTCTTACGCTCACACATTTTATTATCTTAACAGAGACATTGACCCTTATTATTCAAACGTAAGGAATGATTTTCCATACATTTTTGCAATTTCTATTGAAATGTTAAGCTTCAGCAACAATCTAGCACAAAAATGATGCATTAGGCAACTGGCTGTCTTAACAATTTAAAACAATTTATAGTCAACCAAATCTAAGAAATACCTTTTGACGTTTCACATTAATCATTCCGCAACAACTTTGCACCAGCGTACTAACCTTTTACGTAAATCCGAAGAATTATGAAGTTATCTATATTTCATTACAACGTGTATAGTTTTTTATCACTAATTTAAATTTAAATTTTTCAAATAAAGCAAAATATTAAAAAATAACCAGTATTAACTTTTTTTACTTGACGTCGTGTCAATGGTATGTCGCTATTATATTCTATGTTTGGATGATTAAAATTCGTTGTTATGCGAATGATCGGCAAAATATTCAAACAATCGGTAAAAATTTTCAAATAATCGAATCATTAATTTTTTTAATGTATTATTTATTTAATTTAATTTTTATTTTCAATATTCCTTAAGTTACATGAATCATGAATAAAACAAGTTTATTTTTTTTACTTTGTCAAAGTGTTGTGTAGGCAAATAAACTCATTTACACGGCCGTGCTATATCGAGTTATATCTCCACTACATAATTTCAATATTCCGCCATTTCGGTACCAGTTAAACGACTCCACCGAGTCAGTAATTCATTCTTGTGGCGATGTATATGTTTTTACAACAAAATCCCAGAAAACATGCAAAATTTGACGTAAGTGTACAAAGTTTAAAAACTTTATTAAACAAGTTTGTATAAAAGGGTTATTTTAATATTAAGGAATTTATGGATGATAATAACTCCAGGGAAGGGTGATCGCTACCAAGCTATTTCTAGTTTGTTTTGTGTTGTTAATTGTAACACGCATGATTGTAAGCTCTAACTTTTTTTTTAAACTAGTCTTGTTGGGTTTTTCTTTGGTTCTTCCCAGGACAGAGGTTTTTTTTGCGAACCAGTGGTAAATGAAAAAAGTGACTTGCAATAAGTATTATTCATAATCTATATTGAATAAAAAAGATTCCGTTTCTGTTTCGAGAGCTTACTGTGCGTAATTTTGTGATTTTTTGTTTGTCTCCTTATTTTGTCACTCGGCTTTAACTTTTTGGACTGTTTCTTCTATAATAACTGTTTGTACGTGGTAGAGCCACGCTACATCAATATTATAGTTGTGGCACGAATGGGTCGGCTCAACCGCGACAGGACCACGCTCTCACAGAATGACAGCGTAAAATAGTAGCGTAATGCTGCTGTGTTTCATATGGTGAGTATAGCGAACCGGAGACCCTTCTTACTGGAATTGAGGCATTCCTTAATCCTCTGGGGCGACAACGCATTTGCAATTTGATTCTTAATTGAGAATAAATATGTATGTCTATGGGTATAGCATCCACTTACCATCATGGTGGACTGTGTGCTTCGTTGTCACATGCTATAAAAAAATGTTCGTTGAAGCATGTGCCCATGTCATAAAGGATGATTGGGCAAAAGTGGTTGAAAAAATAAAAAAATTGTTTATGATAGATGGATGACTTTGAAAGAGACATTAATGTTGTCTGAATTATGAAAATCAAATAATAATTAATATAAACAACGACATATCTAATAGTTTTACTAAAAGTGATTGAATAAATTTATTTTTAATCTAGTTTCAATGTAAATTTTTATAACTGTGCCTCTAGAAATAAGCAGTAACAACAAATACGAAGAAACTTATAAATCTTGTGTTTTAAATTATCCATTTTTAATTTATTCTTGTATTATTCAAACCAAACTAAATGATTACCAACTCTAAATAATCGATATCGATTTTTTTAAGAATCGAATATTGTACGTTTAAATTTTTTGGTTGGCATACTTGGTGCAATAAGTCTGACAGCTGTCAAAATGTATTTCTTAGATTTGGTTGACTATAAATTTCGTTTTTTATTTAATATCAAAATGTTTTACATAATAAAACATAATTATAGTAAAAATGGGCAACATCCAATATACCATATTTATATTTTCGCTAAAGAAAAAGTATATTTTTTATTATTTAATATCAGTTAGAAAAAAGTTTCGTCTTCTGTTATTTTAATGCTCTAATGCGTTATTTTCTGTTTTCTTTCAGGTTCATGCTATTTACATACACGTATACATATTTCTTGGCTGTATGATTGGATTGACTTTATTCGTGGGTGTTGTAATCGCAAACTACTCCGAGAACAAAGGCACCGCCTTGTTGACGGTTGATCAGCGACGATGGTAATTCAAAGATCATCTTTTAGAAATTTTCGAAGTCTTTTAATATTACTTCAAGTAAAAGGTCACTTATTTGTGTTCATCCAAAAATATAAAAACACAGCCTTAAGGTATTACCACACCAATCGATTGATCGTTGATCGATGCCATTGATCGACGTTGATCGATGTCGATCGACTGATAGCTAGAGATAGGTAGCTTTAGCTGATCTTCAGATGTCTACTAGTCGTAAAACGTTCAATCATCGATAAACGTCGATCGACAGTTAATCGATGTGGTTGTAGGTTCATCATCAGTATCTTTCAAAATGTATTTAGAAGACGACGCACGAATATTGACTAAGGCCGACTAAGGCTAGACCTGAAAAAGTTTAAGGCTAGATATACCTTAAATTCATCTAGACGTCATTTTAAATAGCGGTCGGTTGAACGGGGCGGGTTCACGAATAATCAAGCAGCTCCATCGACGTCGGCTAATCTATTCCACCATGGAACCATGACATTGACCGACGATTGAACGATTGGTGTTGTAACACAATTTAGACATACTTTGGAGAAAAAATAATAGAAAATATTCATCAATAATTTAGAATAATTTTAGAGAAGAATTTAGTTTTTTTTTCTTCTTTATCGGTTGATATATGTCCGATGCTGAACACAGATATCTTCTATTTTAGTAAAGATTTGTCTTAATCGTCACTCTTAGTAGTCTGATTAAAGATCCCAATACCGGACGCCCGCATCTTTGAAACTGAAGCCAGTTGCCGGTAAGTATTCCCAGATCCCCATCTATCAGAAGCCATAAGTTTTTTTGGTGTTCCCTATAGGCGTCTTTTACGATACCCACGGGACGAAATAGGACGATGAATTCCTTTTCACCACCACCACACGGCTATTAATATATTCAGCTAAATAGCAAATAATATTGACCAGAATTTGCTCACATTTTTATTCATATATTTGAGAACATGACTTAAATACTATCATTTAATATAATTTATATTGATAATTATATCGCTTTTTGCGAATGAACGAATAAACTGATATTTCATATTAATATTCCCTGTTTAATCAATCCCAGTAGTGATATTCACTACGATAATATTATCAGACTACAGTTCTGTAAACTAGGATCCGCGTCATAGTAGCCAGCGACATAATACCCATGTCGTGGAGCCAATCGCTACAAGAGCCTACGTTAGAAAGCATAAATTGTTAGTTTTTCGGGCCTTAGTTGTGATTGCCTCTTATCTCAGACGCGGTTCTTCAATAGGCATATTTAACACGTGTAAATTACAGCAGTGAGTGGTTTTCGGTTATCGTGGAAACTCATGGTACTGAAACATTTTTTATAGCATCGAATCGAATGTGAAAATTCCCGACCGCATTGGTAATTTTTCGCCAGCCAATCAAAATCGATCAGCGTCATAAATTATTTCTCTCTCTATGTAGGTGTGATTTAAAGAAGAGACTGAAAATTGCTCAGCCGCTTCATTTGCCTCCTCGACCTGACGGCAGGAAGATTCGTGCCTTTGCTTATGACGTCACGCAGAATTTATCATTCAAACGGATCATCGCTATCGTTGTTCTCATTAACAGCGGCTTACTGGCTGTTACGGTAAGATACTTAAAATAATTAAGAATCAATTTTATTTATAGGTTGCCCTAGTCGATGGCACGAACTAAGTGGTGGGCGGGGTAAAAATGCATGCTATCTCAGCCAACATCACGTGCGAAAGGGATAGACGCTGTGATGAGCAGTAAGAAGCTAGTGCGCACACACATACACACTCCCGTGATGCAATGCGCGATGGCATCATCGCGTACCTACCTATATGATTCATTTTAGAATAATAACATAATCTCAAACGGCAATTGTGAGCTTCGTGCCGCAGTTGCTTAGCAATGAGTAGCTGCGCTGGGTGCCGCGGGTTTGAATCCCGCACGGAACAAATATTTTGTATGGACTACAAATAGTTGTTCCGGGTCTGGATGTTTGTCCTTGTGCAATTTATATTTATAAACTGCCTCCACGATACTGGAGAAAATCCTACTGTGGGGGTAACGTATTTTAAAAAGAGTAAGGAGAAAGAAAGCAAATTGGTGTTATTGTAACTTAGGATCTGCTGTGTGAAACGTAATTATTATGAACCCAATTTATGTACTTAGTTGTTATTATGAAAGTTCTTATGTGAACTTAAGTAGATGTTGTTATTATATAATAATTCCATTGATTTGTTTTTACCTACTTTTTAACCGTCTTCGAAAAAAGGAGGTGGTTCTCAATTCGTTGGTTTTTGTTTATGTGTGTTCTGTTCCCCGATTTCTCGAAGATCCCTGAACCGATTTAGAAAATTATTTTTTTGTTTGAAAGGTTATATTTTCCAGATAATCCCACGGTAATCGATGATGATCAGATCAGGATCTAATGAGGTTATCTTGGAGAAATCGGGGGGCACTCTTGAATGACAGCAAATCAACCGCGATTGCTGCTATCGCCTATCTATGTATTCTTTACGCAATCACGCAATATAATATCACGCCTGTACCCACTAAACGGACATAACTCACAACTAAAAACGGTAACATAAAAAACTTTTTTTTGAAAAAAAATATAACAATTTCTAAAACAAACACAAAAAAGTGTAATATAATTATGTTTTCTTTATGTTTTTGTATTTTACTATAGGTGTAGGTTATGCAAATATTACTGTAGGTACTATGTATTCTAAATAGGTATTTACTTACCATAGCTAGTTAGCTATAATAGCCCACAGGCAACTCCCCGAAGTATGTCAGCCAGTGTCAGGATAACTGCTTTTTCGACAGCGCGATTTTGATGTGAGTGTGGCTTTTATATAGGTTAATTAAATAAAAAAAATGTTAGTTTTTAAATTGTTTATTGAATGTTTGTAGCGGTTTGAAATATTCTCTTGGTAGGTATTTAGAAAGTTATCAACAATAGGCATTGTATCACTGCAGGGACAAGCACAAACGTCTATCAAAATAGTAACGTATATAAACGGAATACTAACAGCACAGACTTCCTTACAGAAGTCCAAAGAACACGTCTAGACAAGGTAAGTAATTAGAAGAAAACTACAATTTAGAGATCGATTGTAAATCAAATTCACAGTACATACACAATTAGCGAAATATGAATAAAATTTTGATTTATTTTATGATAGATAACGCTAGTTGAAAACTAAACACTGTATTGGAATGGCATCACTGAACGAGTCAGTTGGTCAGTCCAAACAAATAAAAGGCGCGATTGTAGAAAGAGATTTGTTACGAAACGTTTGTAGGCTAGGGGGATTAGCCTGTTTATGCTATTCATAACGAAGGCTATAAAATATGTACAACTTAGAAACTAAATCCTATGTGTACTTATCTGTATTCATAACCCAATATCTAAGGTAGGTTATTCTGTAATAAATTAAACCTAATCCAAAATATACTATGATACCATAGCAAAGCTACTACTATTTTATTTAGTAGTAGCTTATATAGTAGTATAGTAAATTATATATAAAAAATATGAGTATGTCTGAGGTAAGGTTAAATATAAACAAATATTTTGCCAAGATTTAAATAGGTACCTATACATATTACTATCGATCAAAAAAAAGCCAAAAATACACGTTTCTTTTTCTAGTAGAAAATCCTTTAATTTCAAATTTATTTTTACCACTTGCTGTTATAGCGGCAACAGAAATACACGTTCTGTGAAATTTCCAACCATCTACCTATTACGGTTCATGAGATGCAGCCCGCTGACAGACAGACACACGGACAACGGAGGCTCCGTAATAGGGCCCTGCTGGTTACCCTTCGGGTACGGAATCCTAAAAAGTACTAAGTTGTCCACTCACATCTGTATGATTCTTTCTTCAAAGGACCATATTAGCCTGGTTCTCGTATGACATGACCAATGTAATACCTGGACTGACCTCTCTGAGTTTGTTTCGGCAGATCGGGTGCGCTTCTTCTCAGTTTCATGTTTTTGTTGTGTTAAAGTGTTTTTTTAAAAAAAACTTACAAAACACATTTTATTTATCATTGACTGCCCTTCTTAGATTATTATGTACTTACATAAATTACATTAGGTATATTAGGATATGAGATTCCTATACGTAAGCACGATTATCGAAAATCTAAAAATTACCTATTCTAATTAAATTAATAGATAATTTTAAGATTTTCGATAATCGTGCTTATCTATGAGATGTTTTCGTTAGCAAATTAAAGTAGTTAACCTGTATCGAAAGTTCATTATTATATACCTACCTGTTTTCAATTTTAACTAAATGTGCTTCAACAAACTTATGGGCACATTTTAGCAGCTATATTCATCCCGGCTTCAGCAATGGACACGAACAAAAGGAAGCAATTTTTCTAAATAAAGATGTAGATATGTAGGTATTACAACCATAAATAGATAGCAGCGGCTAACCTAGTGAGCATGTGTGAGTGCGCGCTGCGTCCCCCCTCCGTCCGTCCCACTGATCGGGGAAACAATTTGTAGCGAAAGGCAAGATGTTTTATAACAAAAACGGGCGCGCGAAATTTTATAAACAGACCTTTGGTAGTCTGGATGTCACGAAAAATCTATTGAATGTATCTGTTTAAAATAAAATTATTTGCATTTTTGAACACTAATCTATCCCTGTACGGTAACTGTTTTGCAATTTTCGTTCTTCTTATGATATTTATTTCCGCCCAAAGATGTGTTAAAATTAGTGTTGAAATTCGGAATTTTCGACGCTTATAACTTTTAAACATACTCTTTTTTTACTTTTTTGTTTCCATACAAGGCTAGATAATGATGAGACAAATTGAAATCATTTTTTATTTTGACCCTTGCCCCCTATGTGTACCCTTTAGTAAATTTTTTCTAGCATCTTATTCTTCACATTCCTGAAATGTTTTAACTTTTAAAGTCTAGTAGGGACTGGAAAGTATACGGTATCAACATCAGTGGTTAGTACGTCACTCACCTTCGATTTGCGGACGACATAGTCATTATAGAAGAATCACTGGAGGACCTCAGCACTGTTCTCCTAACGGGCAGGTCTTAAACATATTATGTTTATGGACAAAACAAAAATCACGTGTAACGTTCCATATCACCTGGTCGTTACAAGCACTAAGCTCGCAGTTGTTGACGAGTATGTTTACCTAGAACAAATTGTCCGACTAGTTAAGTCCAACTTTGACCGAGAGGTTAACAGCAGCTGGGCAACGTTCGGGAGATTGTTGGGTGGTTCAGAAATCTTATTAAAACCCTTTGCTCCTGAACCATTTGTTATTGTGGATTAAAGATAGGTAGATATCTGTGTAAGAACTGAACCTCTGAACTGAGTCTTGCACCTAAATTGTTTTATTATGGTATGTTGCAAGGAAGAAATTTCTTATTAACTTATCTATGTTTTTGCAATGATATTTATATGATTTTGCATAAAAATGAAAAATGTTCTATTTTTTACGGATATACAATGTTTGTCACCTTATCCTATAAAAAAAACCTGTCACTGTTGATCTATGTAATGTTATGTGTTGTGTAAATGTTGTTTCGTTCATTGATACACATACGAGAAAAATAAAACAAGTAACAGTATGCTTACACACACAAACTAACTGGGTCGCGCAGCAGCAGCGCAGAAGAGGCATTTGACTCAGTAGTAATAATCATACTTTATTTCAGACTAACGTAAACTCCATAATTATGTTCGTGATAGACTTATACTAGTTGTTAATATCACATATAATTCTTTCCGATATTCTATGGCACCGGGAACTGCACTATGGCAAAAGCTGCACATGTAAAAATTACTAACAAAAAGTTTGAACCAGTGTTACTTTCACTTTGTTACTGCTATAGTTCTCATCAGCTGCTTAGGGTAATAAGCGTCTATAATAAACGTTGTAGCTTTCTACACCTTTTTTAGTTTTAGTAGCTAGTAGCCCGGAGAGATGCTATCCTGCGTGCAGAAGATGCTTGATGATAAGGCTGTCCTAATTATCAAGAACGTCGTTTGCTTTAAACTTAATTTGTGGGCCTGTAATCTTACGCTCACCAGATGTCGCTAGTTGGGACTATGTAGTGTAGAAGTAATGAGTACCAACTCCCGTAGTAGAATAGTTGAAAAAGTGGCCATCTGTAATCAGTAAACAACAGCTCAAAAACTCTCCATAACAGCGCTGGAGTAGCTACTGGGATGAAATGAACTTAGCAGTTGTTGACGGTTTAAGTGTGCTGCTAAACTGCTCAGTAGCTCTAAAATCTAAAATAATTTTATTTAGTAAATATAACCTCGAAAAAGTCGTCTATCCCACTAATATTTTTCGGTGCGTTCTTTAAAATTTACCCCGTAGCTATAGTGGCGCCACCCTTGTTTAAAGGTTTTTATGGACACTTTTTAATATACAGTCTGTACTCCTTACTTCTACACTCCAAGTTGGGACTAAGGCGAACTTATTTGTCACGCAGATGGTCACACAGTGTCTTCATCATTAAAAGGTTGCGTTGAATGATTAGTGTTCCCGTAAATTAAAATAATTAAGGAATCATTAAGTTGCGTTTCAAATAAAATATTCTTGGTTTCTAATGTATGTATAATAGATAAAGCATGCTTTAATGCTGTTTTCTTTAATTGTTTTACTTTTTTTAATTCTTGTACCATTAGGAATATCTGTAGCTTGGTTAATCCAATCTATATTATGAATCTAATGAATATAAAATATAACTAATATTGCAGAAAGAAACTTTAATCTTAATACTTTTTTAACAAATTAACTTCCCCGCTAGGAAATATGTCAAATATTTCATCTTATTCATAATACACCGCTTTGGAGGCAGAAAAAGTAGTCATTAGTAATGCTGTCGTGGTGCTGCCAAAGCCACAGCTCTTTGTTATTCGGTTAGTGTCTCACTCCGAGTAACACGTGTGCAAGTGTGTAAACTAAAATTAGCGTTGGAAGGTTCATCTGCGAAAGTGAGTAAATGCGTGCGAAAGTGGGAAAATATAGGAAATGGGTATTAGTTAATTTGATAATCATCTAAAGCACAAATTTTTTTTTTGCGACTCAGTTACACGGTTTTAAGTGAAGTTATTTTTTAATTTTTGTTGTCTGGCGTTTTCGCTCTGCATACGAAGGTAAATAAAGGGCATTGCATTAGAAGTAAGTAAATGAAGTGTTGAATGTGCGCAGTGGTCGCGGCACTCGGCGAACACGGAGCGGCTGGCGCTGACGTCGGCGCTGCTGACGCTGGTGTTCGTGGTGGAGGTGGTGCTCAAGACCGTCGCCTTCACGCCGCGCGGCTACTGGCAGAGCCGCCGCAATCGCTACGATCTGCTCGTCACCGTCGCCGGCTGCATCTGGATCTTCATGCACTTCACGCTCAAAGTCAATCATTACATATTAAAAAACTTTTTGAAATATCATTTTTATTACGTTATACTATTATCATCCTTTAATATTCGTGAGAAATATTGTATTATTTTTTTTATTTTAGAACGACCTATCATACTTTGTGGGATTCATGGTGGCTATACTGCGTTTCTTCACAATCACGGGCAAGCACACGACATTGAAGATGCTGATGCTGACCGTAGGCGTGAGCGTTTGCAAGAGTTTCTTCATTATATTCGGCATGTTCCTCCTGGTGTTCTTCTACGCGCTTGCTGGTACGATAGTATTTGGCAACGTTAAATACGGCGAAGGAATCGGAAGGTACCACTTTTATTCATGTTTTGTCTTTTTTATAGGATAGGGTGACAAACGAGCACCCAGTCCACCTGATGGTAAGTGGTTGCTGCGGCCCATAGACTTCTACATCTGTCCTCGATTACGAATCAAAATGCACATGCGTTGTCACCGGTGAGGACTAAGATGGAATGCCTCGTTTTCAGTAAAAAGGGTCTGGTTCTCTAACTATGATGGTAATTTCAACTATACTTTTTTGTAGATATTAGAATTCAATTACCCTCACTTCAATTTTATTTAGTGAAAAACGTCGAGATTTTGTTTAATGAATATTTTAATATTATGTCTGTAGGAAGACCTATTTCAGTATGGTTGCCGGTCTCAACGACGAATACCCGTGCGCTGCGCAGGAAAGCATTATAGTCGAGTGTGCACGCATAGGTGCACTCTATATTGCCTATATGCGTTGTCCAATAGGACGATAATCTCACGACCGGGTGGGGATTAAGCGAAGGACCGACGGCTTTATGTGCTTTCCGATGGACAAAGGTTACTGAAAATTTCTTGACAGCATACCTTAATAAAATGAGGATTTTATTAAATACTTAATGGTTTGACAGATGCTCTTTTGCTCCTTCCGGTAGATAGCTTGATGAATTCGACTACGTATTTTCTACCCTTTAAACCATTACGCAGTAGCGCGTACACAGCTACTTTATGGCAGAAATAGATGTGAGGGTTGATCAATCTACATGAACAGTAGATTAGCGGAACAGGGGGTGATGATCAAAACGACTATAGTGTCATTTATCCAACTTTCAATCTTGTCCATCACGCAAGGATGTGATAGAACTTTTTATTATTGCCTGTTTAGAGTGAAAGCGTGATGCATGACTAAACTTCTTCGTTTAACCGCATTTTGTATAAAAAAGACGTGCAACATCAAAAAAGAAGACTAGAAGAGAACGTATTAAAAATATGGCTTCTGAAAAAACCTCTTAATTCCCAAATTTATCGAGCACAGACGCAGAACAGCTGGCCTTTACAGTACACATTTTAGAGCGTGCAAATTACATAACTTAATTCTCCCCCTCGTCTCGTTTTTTTCGGTTTTCCACCCCTTCGTAATCGACATACCACATATTTAAACAAACAGCCAAAGATTTAAACAGTTAGATGAGCCCTTACCATAGTATGACCACTCCGAAATGCGTCCATTCTCAAATGTATGAGCTCACTCATTCGCAATCAGTGCTCATTTGTGCGACAGAGAAAGTAGTATACACAATTTCTGTAAGATAATAGGAGATGACACTATTGCATTTGTGTGCGTGCGTCAGCGTCTTGCAAACGAACACATCCAAAAATAATGCCACAGTTTTCAAGGTAAAGGCGCATCTAACTATTTAAATCTTCGCTAGCAGGTTGCTTTGTCATTCATACAGCTAACAAGTAGAATAATATACAAGCGTGTTTTTCCATCTGATGATATATTTTCTATCCTGTCGTTAGCTCATATTGCGCTGCGTATAAAAGACTTATTTTTTACAAATTAAACAGGATTAAGATAATAATTGTTATTTCAGACGTGCGAACTTTAACTCGCCAATACACAGCGTGGCGATGCTGTTCCGTATAGTGACGGGCGAGGACTGGAACAAGATCATGCACGACTGTATGGTGGCACCGCCGTACTGCACGCCCGCGGACAACTACTGGGAGACGGACTGCGGCAACTTCACCGCCTCGCTCGCATACTTCTGCACTTTCTACGTCATCATCACGTACATCGTGCTTAACTTGCTTGTCGGTTCGTACTACTTTGAATCTTTTAACTATTTGCGTAAGAATTTCAAACGAATCTATTTTTATATTTTTTTGTTTGATATACTTTAGGTTTTACGATAGATCGCGGTAAAACACTTAGCATATGCCAGATGTAAAATATCAAACCGGTGGCAAGTAGTAGTATCAGAAGTGTCAGATGATGATCTTGCAATTCCGTCTACCAAGCACCGGGATAACGGTAAATCCCAAACCCAGTAGATAAGAGTAGACAAGCTGATGAAGAGTATCACAGGAGCATTCCACATTTGTACGTTAGCCTAATCCAGGGGTCGGCAACCTGCGGCTCGCGAGTCACATGCGGCTCTTTGGATGTGAAACTTCGGCTCTTTAGTTCCATATGCAAATATTAATTATTTTATTGAAAAAACATTTAAAAATCGTTCTGAATCGATTAACGAGTATTAGGCACCATTTCTATCTCTCAGCCACTTGTACTCGCTTTTCACCGCACCCATACACACTGGGCCATTTGAAGTTGATACTGGATTTCATATATATATATATATATATATATATAATTATATATATATATATATATATATATATATATATATATATATATATATTAGAGTTGGGCCGATTAGCCGCCAACTAATCGGTGAAGCCGATTAATTAGTCGGCGATTAATCGGCTAAAACGGCCGATTAATCAGCTTTTATTTTATTAATTTCAGTAAAGATTTTTCGTGATTTACTGCGTGGTAACGTCGGCTACATTGATATGAGTAAAGCTTTAAATTTAAGAAAAGTATAGTTTCTCTCCCATGCGTAAACTGTTTCTTGTAGGTAAATCAAATAAATAATAAAATAAGTAGGTTCATACATAACTTTTATTGAAAAATCAGTCTCACATGTTTTAATGTTAATTATTCTGGACATAGGAACTTTGGTAAAAAAAAAAGAATCTGAGGTAGCTATTTAAAACTAAACAAAAACCTAAGTAGTTACTGTCTATTTTAATTCTACTTTTTAACTTTTTCTAATCGTAATGCAGAGTAGTGACACAACAAAATAAAATATTAATAATATTATTTTTAATAAACTTTTAAAAAACCAAATTTTAAGTCTCCCTTTGCACAACAAAAAAAAAATTTCTTAATTCTTGAATAGTTTGTTAAATTACACGCACGCAAAGACAAATAGAACATACTTTTTTCTGTACTTAAAACTAAATTGTTATTGTTTTTGTACTAAAAATTAAATCAAATTATTATTTTTATGTACTTAAAATTACTATAAATTGTTTCTTTACCTGTAATGTTATTAAATAAAGAATATAATCATATAATAATACACAATTTGAAAAAGTATTGAAGGCTTTTTAGAAAATATTTTATTTATTTGTTATTTTTAACCAGTGGCAAATTGTGATGCAAAAAGGCCAAAATCTCAGCCTTTTCTGGTTGAAATCGATTTCTTTTTGTTTCGTAGATACTAGATATTCCCTGCCTCAGAAAAAAGTCTCTTACTATTCGCAAAGCTGGCGGAGCAACAAAGGAAAACTTTGGCTAAACGGAACATTTCTGAATATCTGGAAGTATTTTTGTTCCACTATTTGAATTTATCATCGGATAGGGATCGCCTGGGCCGATTAATCGGCCATTTCTTAACCGATTAATCGGCTAATCGGCCAATCGGCCAAAGTACTAATCGGCCCAACTCTAATATATATATATATATATATATATATATATATATATATATATATATATATATATATATAATCTAATAAATAGATTATAATAATAGAAATAAGATTCTAATTTATTGTGAAAAAACACTACTTTTATATGATGAATAAATATATATTTTTCTTATGAATAAACAGATGATGAGAGTTGACTCCGTGGCGCAGTGGCTTAGCAACGAGTGGCTGCGCTGGGGGTCGCGGGTTCGAATCCCGCACGGAACAAGTATTTATATGACCTACAAATAATTGTTCCAGGTCTGAATGTTTGTCCTTGTAAAATTTATGTTTGCAAGCTGCCTCCATGATAAAAGAGAAAATCTTAGTGTAGGGGTAACGTTTTTTTAAAAGCTAAAAAAAACAGATGTTTTTTTTATCAAAAAACTTTATTTATGCAAGTACTATTTATGGTTGGCAAGAAAAAAATTGTGGCTTTTTAAAAACTTCGAAATTTTGTTAATTGTAATTTTTGACTCTTCTGACTTAAAAGGTTAAAAGGAAATTTCGGAAAATGTGACATGCCCACTATGGTAAGCAAGTGGATTGTAGATCGTATAGTATTGAATTTCATTTGTCTGAATGATTTATATTTCGCATTAGTACATTTACTACCAACAGCAGATTTGATTTTTTATTACCACATATTATGTATTTTACTCCTTGAGACTTTTTTACTGGAAACGAGGCATTCAATCTTAGTCCTCACGGGTGGCAACGCATCTGCATTTTGATTCGTAATCGAGGATAGATGTAGATGTCTACAGGCCACAGCAACCACTCACCATCAGGTGGAGTGTGTGCTCGCTTGTCACCCTATCCTATAAAAAATGTATTTATCAAGCCCTGTGTACATTCCTCTACCAGTTTTTACGATTTGTTATTATTAGGTAATTCAAATTAATATTTTAATGTAACCTTGAATGGATATTGAAATAATAAATGACAATCTGCCAGATTTTCGAAATGGAAATTCTTTGGCTCTATTCAGCCTAGTCTACTGTCAGGTTCTGATAAAGTCTGTTATAATGAGACTACGACTCGTATTTTTGTCTACCCGTCTTCTTAGCAAATATTCGTGTGAAAGATAGTTCTTTGTGCGAGTGTTTCTGTGTCTCTGGAGTACATATTTATTGAGTGCAGTAATTTGACAGTCTCTTTATATGGTATATTACCTTCTAATATTCAACGCCCAGTAAATGTTGCCTTTTTGATAACCTTAATAAATATCCCTTTTGCTAATTGTTTGCCCTTGTGATTGCAAAAATTCTAAGAATTAGTAATATAAAACTATGAATACTAATATTATGTTTAAATCTATTGTATTTCAATATAATTGGTAACTAATCTTGTGGTAGTTTTTTCCTTTTTAGGTATCTCAACTTCTGGGGTTATGACAATTAATGTTACTATGAGAGCCCATGCTCATTACATTTTCCTTAATTTTCTTGTTTAATTGCTTATTGTTGCAGCTATCATAATGGAGAACTTTTCATTATTCTATTCAAACGAAGAAGACGCTCTGCTGTCCTACGCAGACATAAGGAATTTCCAAAATACCTGGAATATTGTAGATGTACACCAGAAGGGTGTTATTCCTGTACGAAAGGTGAGAACGGACATGTATTTTTTTATAGAATAAGAGTGACAATCCTGATGGTAAGTGGATGCTGTGGCCCATAGACATCTATACCTATCCTCGCTTAAGAATCAAAATGCAGATGAAAGTGTTCTATGGTTCTCTACACTCACCAGGCAAAACAGAGCAGCATTAAACTGCTATTTCACGTTGGTACTGCGTTAAAGCGTGATCCTTTCCCGAACAACTAAAATATAGCTACAGCATGGCTTTACCACATATAGAAAGCTAATAGCAGAGCAATTAATGACTACATTTATTTAGTTGTTGCCTTTTTTCATCGATTTTTTTAGCATAATGCCTGTTAATAAAAAGTTCTGCATCTAACTTACTTATCAAATAGTGGCTTTCTATCAAGAATTTTTTAAATGCACATGTTTATTTTTGATCCTCTATGTTCTAATAATTTCTTATATTTACGCGAACAGTCTCCCTGTGTCCAGGTTCTGAGAAGTACTCGAAACGTCGGGAATATCAAATAAGTTAATTAAACGCGATAAAATCCATAAAAAATCTAGTTGAATATAATTTGTGTTTATAGGTTAAATTCATCTTGCGATTGCTGAAGGGTCGTTTGGAATGTGATACACATAAGGAGCGTTTGCTATTCAAATACATGTGCTACGAACTCGAGCGTCTGCATAATGGCGAAGATGTCACCTTCCATGACGTCATCAAGTATGTTCTATGTTACTTCCAAAACTTGGTTCTTGGATTAAATTCCATAGTACATCAGAGAGCTTTGATCAACTTTGCCGGTTACTATTAGCTGCAGTTTTAAGTATGGGTTTTGTAATATCAATCAGAAACGTTTGTTTGCTTACTTCAATTCAAATCGCACCTTATATTACTATCAAGTACCAACGAATGTCACCAGCACAATTACAATCGCAAATTAAATTTAGATAAATCTACTAGTACTATACTTACTAGTACTAGTACTTACTCTTACAAGTCACAATGCGATAGTGTCCTCTTTTCTATTCTAAACTAAATTTGACAATTATATAGAATTTATATGTTAGTAACAAAACTAATATGAAAAATTTAAATGTTAAACCATTTAAAACGATACAAACCTATATAAAATGATACCAAAGTTACAAAGTGTCAAACATATTGCTTTCTTTTTCTTTACTTTTCTTGTTATTTTATTGGCGTCAATAGCCGCTTACACATACGCTCTTTAATGTGTGAATTGCGAAACGCGCTTTCGACGGGAAAGAGCGCGCATGTAAAGATAGAAAACGAGAACGAGAATGCTCGCCCCCCCCCCTGCCCGCGCATCCCCTCTGACCTCAGACATGCGTTCGAGTCTGTGCGCTTCAAACATAGGGTATGTTCCGAAACGTTTTATGCTTTCCTTTTTAGCCTTTTTTCTTTTTAAATTTTACGTTTTAGTTCCGCGTTCAGTATACTGCCGAATACAAATGACGTCATCAATTGACACTATATTGTACTGACGCGACGCCGCCATATTGTGTCGGATATCCAGCCATAATAAAACAATGTTTAATTGTGTGTGCGCTGAATGAAGCATGCCAGAATTTGTTTTTAATTATATTAAAATTCAAAAAATTATAGAATAATTGCTGGTATCTCCATTAGGAGGATATAATGATTTTTGGAGCACAAGATGATAAAATAATCGCCAACACTTATCCAATATGGCGCAAATGTATGGCGTCATATACTATCCTATGTTTTGGAACGAATCACCAGTATAGCGTCGATTCATCATTTGCATTGGACAGTACACTGGGTTCTATTTTGGAACATATTCATAATTTACATGCGCGGTTTTGTGAAAACGATTGTCATCGTAAAATGGCGGACATTCGATCATTGAGCAAGGATTTTATTTCAGAGTTCTTGACAATATACAAGTCTCATGCATGCCATTTTATGTATAATATTATTTAATAATATGTTGAAAAAAATATATAAAAATAAATTAATAAATGTATAATATATTATTCGCTTATACCAGCAAACATAACTGCTTGTGCAATATTTCTTCTAACCCTTTTGTCCATTTCTTTAAAACAATAGTCTGCAGAACGTGCGTTTAACAAAACTGCGTGATTTTCATACATTCCAGGTCGCGAAAATTTCCCGTTCTGAATTGTGCGCGATTAGCTTTTACACGACGATCTTTCATCTCTGAATACAGATGTAATAACGTGCGAAAGATTCAATCGAAACGCACATAAAAATGGATGAAAGCAATCTCTCACGATTTCGCGTGCAAGCTTTCCCGCGTTCAATCGCGCACACACCACCGATCGCAAGGGAAAGAACGTGTCGTGTAAAGCCGGCTAATATACCATATTATTTAATATCATTTTATGATTTTATTTAATGTCATTTAATAATTCAAAAATATTTAATTTCCTTTTCGCTTAAATGTTTTTTATCAAAATCATAACAGAAACAAGAAAATTGTTGATAGCGGCTATAATACCGCGGGGGGCTTTTACATTATTCTTTTATCTATATGGGTATGGCTTAAAAGCTATTTTTTAAATCTTGTTTTTTAATCCATCACTTCCTAATTCAAAGGTTGATACTTTACTTATTTAGATGTATTTTAATTTTGTCATCATATTATTCCAGTATGCTATCTTACCGCACAGTCGATATCCGGAAGAGTTTACAAATGGAGGAATTATTAGCTAGGGAGGAGTTCGAATTCTTGATCGAAGAGGAAGTTGCCAAGCAAACAATACGTACCTGGCTCGAAGGCTGCCTCAAAAAAATACGAGCCAACAGCAGCGTGAGTAACATATTTTTTTATTTTTTCGTTATTTGTTATGCTGTGATGGCCACAAAATATGATAACACCTAGTGCCACATTAAAACAAATTTCGTTATACAATGAGAAAGATACTCTCTTGCGTCCATCTGTGACCTGTTACTAGCTGATAAAGAAGAAAGCACATAAAAAATCATTGATATTCAACAGTCATTAAAATTGTTCAATTTCTGCCACTGGCTCACAAGTCATTGTATATTACAAAGCCTAAAATTATTAATTCGATTACAATATGTCTTTTTTATTGTATATAATTATTTTTTATTTACAGAAACAACAAACAAGCTTGATTGCTGGTTTGAGGAAAACGAATGAACAGATTATAGACATACCCAATGAGAAGTCTGAAAAGGAGAAATTGGATACAGAATCTCAGGTGAAATTAAAATAAATGCAGTAACAAGTATAGGTATTTTAACAGCCCAATTGAACGAAGGCTAACAATCTTATGCCCGCCAGAATTCGCTAGTTAACACTAAGGTGAAATTGATTAACACAGTCTTTCTCATTCAAATGTATATAATATGTAACGTAATTAACGCACACCCTCAGATACCCCAATTAGTATATTATGTTATAATCATAATACATACACTGAATTTTTAGTTAAACATTTTTATGCACTGATTATTTATCAAATTAGTTATACTAATTCCGGAAGAATGTTGTGGTCACAGTACAAATCCACGAACGCAGACTTTAACGTGCTTGAAATAAAGTTCATTTTTCTTTATTTTTAGAGTTATATCTTAAACCTGCACTCTTAAAAGTCTTATTGCTTTAAGTTACGATCTATTTCAGTTTGTTTTGACTGTACAGATTTAGTGTGACTGTAATTTACGTAGTTTTAACTATATTTGGGATAAAAATATTCCTGTATTATAAATTATAGGAATCGATTCAGTAAACGATTCTGAACAAACTACTTTCTCAAAGTGCGTTAATTATGTTACATGTTGTATAATACACAAAAATATGCCTCAGTTGTGAGCAGTTTAATTCATTGCACTTTTAACTCTTCTTTAAATTTTTGTACTTTTAGCATTATCGGTCGTTAGATTTATTAATTTTATCATCTAATTAATATGAATGCTAACATATATTTCAGAAAGAAACATTAATCTTTACAATGTTCTACCAATTTAATTTTCTCGCCATGAAATCTATCAAGTATTTCATCTTTTTCCAAAGTTACACCGCCCTTGTAACAGTATAATTTGTGTAATTCCTCCCTCCCTCATTGACGATGGTAGTTGCTGCACATGTGTCAAAAGAATGAATAAAATTTTTGTTCGTCGACTTCAATAAAAGCATTCGATTTTGTTCATATTTCAGCAAGTGGTTGCCAACGCGGGTCGTACGGAAATAACGGAGTCTACTTCTCAACCGATAATGTCAAGTAAGTGTTCATAGAGAGGTCTTATGTTTAGGCGAGTACTACACGTCAAATGGAACTTATTTTTACAGATTTTGTCGCGTTTTATTTACTTAGTACCTGGTCGACCGAGCTTTACTCGGCGTAAAAATATAATATACAATTTGTTTATGGTTTACATCTATCTAAAAAAAAACTTTTAGAGTAAAACTTTATCTAAGTATAAAATTGCATTCAAATCGTAAGTTGTTTCCCAAAAACCAGATAGTACAAAATATAAAAATATGAATATTATGAATTTATTTCTGTTATTAAAAGAAGAACTAAATAGGTTTGATTGCATATAGATAAAACAAAGATGTTCTGCGAAAATTCTGTAATTAAACATTTTTAGACCGAAGTTTGTAGTACACATAGCTGCATAGCGCCATAAAAATATACGTGACTCGAATTTTTTTCTATAATAATTTATTTTTACTTAGATACCTAAAATATAAAAAAACTGCCTGGACAAACAAAAATATTTATAAAAAAAACCCGTAAAAAATGTTATAGCTGATGTGAAGCACCGGCGATCGAGGAAGTCTTCTTTATGTAAACATGTTCACATTCGTCCCAACCATTGCATCAGATTTTATTTGATAGACCTCAAATCCTTGCAAAAAACACCGACACTCGCCAAGAATGATTCGTTCGTGAGGCCTTTGGAATTAAAGAACATCAATATAGCCTGTGCTAATCAAATTAAATTTAAACCCAAGTATTCTAATGTGTGACATCAAGCTACTGTAAGCTTTTTCTGCGTAGATCGGACCGACAATCAGGATGTTAAACAGTTGTCAAAAAGCCCAGTATAACTAATAGCGATTACAATGGCTGAATAAATCTGCTTTTTGTAGCTATAGTAACTGTCCCGATTTTAAAACCACATTCGTCGAATTTGTTAATTGATATGATTTATTTACTTTAATATGTTTATTTAATAGTAAGCAAATAATAATGAAAATATTTATCACTATAAAAGATATATTTGAAAGCTCCGTGGTGGAGTGGCTTATCAATGAGTTTAACGGTAAGGGCCGCGGGTTCTATTCCCGCACGGAACAAAAATTTGTATATCTACAAATAATTGTTCCGGGGCTGGATGTTTGTGCTTGTGTACCTATGTCTTAAGTAAACTGCCCCCAATACTTAGGAAAAATGCTTAGTGTCGATCTAACGTTATTATAAAATAGAAACGAAAAATCTATGAGCCATGGTAGCTCAAGGGCGAAGTGCTCGCTGTAAACGCAGCACTTCGCCCTTGAGCAACCCGGGTTCGATCCCGCCGACACCAATGAAATTGTTATTTTGATGAATTATCTTTACATTATTACAACGATTATATTATATCTATGTAGATATACTATTTTATGAAATACATATTTTTTATTACTTACCCATTTCAAGACGCTATCTTGACATGATTAAAACTACTTTTTACGGATTTTATCGCGTTTATTTTTACTTTTTATTTTAATTCCCGACGTTTCGGACGCTTTCCAGCACCCATGGTCACGGGGGGACTGAGATGACTGACGTCTCGATGTCACCGTTAAACCCGGAGTACCTTCAGCTTTTTTAATTATTGTTTATGGTCCGATCTATGCAAAACGAACTGACTATGTCTTGAGGTCTTGCAGTGGTATGCTTGGGTTTAGTTTTAATTTTATTGATTATAGGATCCCAAGCAGGTGGTAGTACCCAGCCTCCTTCTCTATTGAAATTAGGATGTTTTTTAATTTCAATAGCCTCACGTATCATCCTTGGTAGGAATCGGTGTTCTTTCGCGAGGATTTGTGGTCTATCAAATCTGATGTAATGGTTGGGGCCGTCTAGGATATGTAAATTCGTAAAAGTAGTTTTAATCATGTGCAATGTTCGCGTAAATATAAGAAATCATTATGTTATGTTGACGTTGTGACATTCCTTAGTCTACTCAATAGAATAAAAAAAGGAAAGCCGACTTCAATTTACTACAAGAATAAAATAATTTATGCATATTAGATTCCGATGTCGGGGTTAGATCGGCTGTTAATTCTTATATACAACTATGTCTTAGCACCTACCTCATAAGCTGTTATGGGGAACCTTGCTGTCCACCTCGCGCACTCACGCACACAGACAGAACATTGTAGGCGTGTCAATATTATACCGTTCCAGAGCGATTTTGCCTTGCTTTTACCTTGCGCATATTTGAATATACGCTCTTACTTACTTTATTTTTGGTTTATCAGATATGACCTCATCGTTTGATTCTCAACCAAAACGATCGTCAACAAAAGGACAATTCAAAAGACCTGGCTTATCATCAGTTACACTACCAAGGTAAAAATAATAGATACGAAATAAGAATAACAATAAACTTTGTGTAGCATTATTTAATTATAGGTTTAAATTTAAATATACATTCATTTCACAGACCCGAAAGTCCCGTTAAGAAGTACCTCCAGCCGACGTTAAGTGATCCTCATCCTACTTTGCATAAAAAAGCGCCACGTAAGTAATATGTATCCTCCACTATTCCACTTATTATAAACTGATGGACATAATTTAAATTATTGAAAGAAAGAAAGAAAAAGTTTATTTGGTACATACATTATAACAAAAAGAATAAAAATAAAACATTTTTTTATATCTTATCAAAAATATTTAAAAAAGGATATATATGCACCAAACCAGCATAATATGCACCAAAATGGTCTCCACTCAGCTTTAAGTTACGAATTGAATAAATATTGTGTTAAAGTAAAAACTAGATAAACAAATGGTTTTTTTTGTTTGCATATTTTTTTAATATTTTATGTTAAATGATAACAAAGCATTTGAAGATTCCGGTCTGGAAGACATTCTGCGCTAACAATTTGTATTAAGCTCACACCACCTGGGGGTTTGGATCCATTGCAGCCATTATCCATTCATAACAGCGTATTAAAGTCTACTACTTAGTATATAGACCTCTCCCAAAGATTGTCTTATAGAGGAGATTATGACATAGCGAGTTTGTAATCGCACTTTTTTATATTTTGGGGTTTTCATACCACTAATGTCATATATTTACGTTTAAAGTTGCGTTAAAATTGGTGTAAAGATATGGGGGTTTCCAGGTCTTTAAACTTTTAAAACTATAATGTTTTATTGTTCTGTTTACATACATGTCTTGATAATGACGAGACAGGTCAATAATCAATATACGTTATCAATCGGTGGATTTATTATCTCCTTACTATGGAGAAATGACAGACTAGCGCAACATGGTTGATAATAATCCCTTTGAATGAGGTGGTTGCTTTCAAGCTGTTTCTAAATAAATTTTACACATAGTTTGTACAATATTTCATAAGTATAATATATTTTAAAAAGAGCCGCAGGATTTCTTGCTGGTTCTTCTTAGAACAGAGATTTTTCCGAACCAGTAATAAAGTAAAACAATGACTTTCAATAAGGACTATAATATTATGTAATCTATATTGAGTAAGAAATATTTTATTCTATTCTAATGTTTTTGCCAATTAGCTTATGAAGTGTTTTGATCACAAAGAAAATACTCGCATTGACGTAAAAATGTGTTAAGTGTTGAGGTTAATATGATTGCTTTTACGACAGAAAGTAAAGATTTTATCATTTGCCTGTAGCTGTAATGAAGACTAACGTGCGCGTGCACAACACGGGCGCGGCGGCGTGCGGCGCTGGGGGTGCGGGGGGTGGCGGTGCGGGGGGCGCAGGGGGCGCGGCGGGCGCGGGCCCCGCGCTGCACCAACTGCACGACTGGTGGCGCGCGCAGCTGGCTGCGCAGCACCACGCCGAGTAGACCCCCGCTCCCACAACCTTGGAACCCTATACAACTTCTGATACAACCGTCTTTTTGAATAATAATCTACTTGCTGCGTTTACTGTTTACTGATTTACCTTTAGTTTTTGACATATCCGCTATTTGAGGGAATACCAAATTTAAAAAGCTGATCTCCAAAATAGACAACGAAAATTAGTTTAAATGGCTTTAATTTTTTTTTACATTTTCATTTTAACTTCTACAAAGAAGCTTTATATATGTATACTATAGAATTTTTCTCATCTTAGTAGGTAATTCAAAATATAACATACTTTGTTTGTTTATAAATCTACTAAAATGTAATTATAACGCAATAACAAAGAACTAAACATGTGAAGACAGAACTCAGAACAGCAGGTCATAAATACTCGATAAAACAATAAAAACACGACATTTTCGCAGTAATCATTATTAAAACATGTACCTTGCTGATATTCCATACTGATATATTAATAGGTTAATGAAATATTGGCTCAGTTTCCAAGTTCAGAAGCCAAAATTTTAAGTGTCATATAGTACTACTAATTTGTAGTCTATGTGTATGTTCCAAAATAGAACCCAGTGTACTGTCCAATGCAAATGACGTCATGAGTCGACGCTACACTGTTGATTCGTTCCAAAACATAGGACAGTATATGACGTCATACATTTGCACCATATTGAAAAAGTGTTGGTGATTATTGTGTCATTTTGTGCTCCAAAATCATTATATCCTCCTAATGAGGATACCAGCAATTATTCTATATTTTTTTTGTATTTGAAGAAATAAAAACAAATAGGGGGGGTGGGGGGCGGGTCTGGCATTCTTCATTCAGCGCACACACAATTAAAAATTGTTTTATTATGGCCGGATATCCGACATAATATGGCGGCGTCGCGCCAGTACAATATAGTGTCAATTGATGACGTCATTTGTATTCGGCAGTATACTGAAAACGTTTCGGAACATACCCTATAATCTATGTGATGTCTGTTAATTAATGTTATTGATATTATTATCATTTAAATAAGAATCTCTATATTTAAAAGTATTATTAGGACTTCTCACGCGTTACGCATAAATAGGGTTAAGTATAATTTAAAAATGTTATAATATGACGCATTTCTATACACCACTATTTGTTATTACCAGAAAAATTAGGGTATTAGTGGTAAGTCAGTAATTAAAATAAAACAATAAAAAAATACATACTTCAGTAGAAAAACATATTAATTAGGTAAAAAGCAAACATAGGCCGGCGAATTTCACTGGCAATACATGAAAATTATATACTAATTTAGTGCAATGACAATCTAGTAAAAATAGTTTTGACTGTGTCCATTATAGTTGATTTTTTTTTCAAATAAAACACAAATAAGTTCGTTGAATTAAATTGAACAAAAATTGAAATTGAAAAAGAACATGAGATTGTCAACCAGGCTGGGCGGCTACTTAATAGCAAATGTAAGGAAATGGGGCAATCTATTGCGGAGTATTAGTGTAGTTGATTTTTGACTTGTCATGTGGAATAAAAATAGTGGTGTTGGTATAAAATGTTAGCAGTTATTTAATATTTGTTATATCAATTAAATTGCAATTACTACTCGTGCCGTGTGTGTTGCTTTATAAGTACGACTTCATGCGGTTGCTAAACCAGGTATCTTTCTTTGGAAATCGTATAGAGTACGCCGGGGTACTATTATATTTTGGTCTAATTTTCTATTTATAGTTTTGAACTCCAAAAACATGACATTATATCACTTTCTATCAATATTTAAAGAAAACAGTTTGAGAAACTTACAGCCCCTATTATTACTTTTACGAATGGTTAAGCAACCTTAAATTTATGTTAAATAATTGAATGTCTACACTGTAGTGCCAAATGGTAGATAATTGTTGTAGGAAAATAAATAAATTATTGTCAAAATCAAAATTGATTTTTATTATTCAATAGCATGAACATTTAAATCTAATTAAACATTCGGAAAAATTATAATTATTGTAAATAGTGACACATGCTTAATGAGAAAAGAACAATAACAGCTATTGTTAGAAGGAGACATACGTATTTGCCAGCGATGGGGAAATGGAATAATTTGGCACGAAGCTTCAGTGTCGCGGCGTACATGAGTACTGTGCTGATGTCCTCCTGTGAGGTATCCTGGTGCAAAAAGGGTCGGACACACAACTCGTGACCTACAGACTGCGTGTTTCGGCACTCTTTTGATAACCTCGCTGCCTGAAATCAATAAATTAATCATACGTACACAATATCTACATACTTATTTTTATTATTTAATACACTAACTATATGACGAATAATATTATGAAAAAACGACGTCGACACCTCTACCGGGCGGGCGCTACCGCCATACGACGGGCGAAAGGTGCTGGATTCATGTAACCGTCACCATACGGCCAATTATTTGAATAACTAGATATATTTTTATGACTAGAAGGTCAAGGATTCACATGAAGTTATACAATCCTATAATAAGAGCCGTGGTAGCTCAGATGTTTAGCGCTTGCTGTAAATTTCACAGTACGCGAGCAAACCGGGTTCGATCCCCGCCGGCATCAATGAAATTGTTAATTGCAATTTTAAGTGCTGATTTACCACGTGCTCGGCGGCGAAGAAAAACATAGTGAGGAAACCTGCATGTCTGAGAAATAAAAAAAAATATTTCGAACACATGTGAAGTTCGCCAACACGCATTGGGGTAGCGTGGCGGCCACCGTGCCCTAATACCCTCTCAGAAATGAGAGGAGGCCTGTGCCCAGCAGTGGGAAGTTTATAGACTATAACTTTATTTTACTTTATACAATCTTCGCCCAATTTTTATAGTAATACTAACCTGCACAAATGGTACCATAACCACCGATAACCAAAGTAATTGGTTTAGAATGCTGATACCAGGAATAGGCTCCGTCTCGGTGTCCACCTTGTCCAGATCAAACAACCACATAAGGCCCGACGCCGCCCACGATATATTGACAATAGTAAACAGGCATACAGCAGGCGCTAGATCGTCATTCAAATATTTGAGCAACTTTCGAAATTCCGCTATTTCCTGCAAATTAAAGTTATAGTTTGGCATGCTTATAACTTAATGGCGTGTAATGGCAGCGTTGGGAATTCATTATCTCAATTCGTGGGTGGTAAGTAGGTGCTATAAAAGGAGATCATTAATTCATCTGTATAAGTATATATAAGGTCATGTTGGAGCATATTCAAAACAAATTTGCGAGGAACTTGTACTTTAAGCTTTACGAGGTATATCCATTTTCAATTTTATCCGTTGATGTATCCTACTCTTTTTGTACTGGGTATGGTTGGATATAACAAAATAGAAGTACGTCGAGGTCTGCTCTTGGTACGTATGTAGTGGGGTGATTCTTTGAAACGCAGTTTTTCCATGATTTTTACTGAAGAACACATCAAAATAATATTCAACTTAAACATCCATTTCAAAGTAATCAATTTTGAAGTAAAATGTCTATCGAGGCCTTATGTAGTTAAATGCAATGAACTAAAATAAACTTAATTTAAGTCAACAGAAAACATTAAAATCTAATTAAGAGGGCGGCACTGAAAATTTCGGGAATCAAGGAAGTGACAAGATTACTATTTAAAAATGTATTTATTGCTTTTCGAAGTATTCTCCGCGAAATTCGACACATTTTTCCATACGATGGAACCCCAATCATTGAATCAACCATTTCATTCGGAAGTTGGGGTCTCCAAAATGGCTGTTTTGTAGGCGTCCACAGCTTCTTTAGGTGATGAAAATCTCTGTCCACGCAATTTATTCTTTATTTTAGGGAAAGTATAGAAATCATTAGGGCTTAGGTCGGGGCTGTACGGCGGATGGTCTAATAATTCTATGTTTTCTTGCTCTAAAAACTCTTTTGTTCTGTGTGCAGTGTGAGAACTGGCATCGTCGTGATGGAGGATGATGCGGCGGTTGCAGTTCTCTTTACGGAGTTCAGAAACGACCTGTGGCAAACAAATGCTAGCATACCATTTTGCATTAACCGTTCTTTGTCCCTCAAGAGAAATAGTCTTAACATGGACGGTTTTGGAAACGTGGCCACCATTTTTTTTTGCAACACTCCGTGAACGAACAATTTTTGTTGGCTTTAACTCATTTTCGAACACCCAAACTCGTGACTGGTTTTTTGTTTCGGGTTCGTACGCATATATCCAGGATTCGTCACCTGATACGATGTATACTGCATTTGAGGATCCTGCGTAGAATCTTTCGAGAGTTCTGACGCACCAAGTAACGTGAGCCGCTTTTTGCTCTTCACAGAGCGAATGCGGTATCAATCGGGAAAACAACTTTTTTACACCTAATGTTTCATGCAAGATTATTTGTTTTTGACTCATGCCAATGTCTAAAGTTGCCTGAATTTCGCGGTATGTCATATGTCGATCTTCCTCAATCAGCTTACGCACAGCATCAACGTGTTCTTGGGTGACTGCAGTTTTTGGACGACCTTGACGGGGATCATCACTGAGCTTGACACGTCCACGTTGAAATTCAGCAAACCAGTGATAAATTGTGGTTTTGGATGGGGCTTCATCACCAAATGCAGAAATCATCCGGTCAACACACTGTTTTTGTGTTAAACCACTTCGAAAGTCATAATAAATCATCGCTCTTGAATTTTCTCGAGTCAATTCCATTTTCTCAACGACTAAACAAGTTTGACAAAACCTTGTGACAAGACCAAGGAGGTTATAAATATATAGGAAGCGAGCGCTTGGAACATTGAAACCGTTCTTCATTTTCCTTAGATAGAGAGGCACCGAGTTTGGTATTATATCTCCTTCTAGCATTAATAAATGTTTACACAAAATAAAAAATAACCAACATTTAGGCAGTTATTGAGTTAAAGTAGTATTTTAGACGTATGCTTGAACGAACCTTACATTTTTATCGCACATTATAATTGGTACATTCCATATTGTATTCCAATTAAGCATATTATTAAGTTACACGAAAAAAAAACATTAAAACACGAATGTACTTTCCCTGAAAACTATGGGGTGCATTTTATGCTATATATGACAAACCTATTTTAAAATTTGACGTTGTTAAATGCATAAATATGGCGCTATTGGCTTCTATTCTCTGTTTGACTTGTCATCAGCGAATGTGATTTAATTGATTTAATTAATATTGCAGAACTTTTCGGGTTTTCTAGTGAAAATGGTATTTTCGTGTTGTGTGAAAGGTTGTAGAAGTGAAAGTTACCCTGGATGTGGTTTGTCATTCCATAGGTAAGAAAAATTTATAGAGTATATTGTGATATGTTCACACTTTCGTAGTTTTAATATTATTTTTAAGTCTGAATTTCGTGAATACAGCATCTGCTATTTTTCAATTTTGATTATGGATCTCTCCTGTTATTCTCAGATATATATTTTGCTACCGTTTCGTATATTTCAAAGAAAATTATATAGAATGTTTTGTTGGTAAAGTGACCAATAATAAGAATAAAAACAATAACTTTGAATATGAATAACACAATTGACGAAAAAGTGTTACATAAAGTGTCACGCCTTTTTCCCATGGCGGTAGGCAGAGACCACAGAGTGCCAACTGCTACGATCCAAAAGTAATTTTTTTTTTTTAGTGAGTAGTATAAGATGTGTGAGAAGGACCTTGGCCTAATTAAAATGTAATCTAGTCCTGATTTCAATTACCTGCGGCATTATAGATATTATTTTTTTCTAACTTCTATTATTTGACGAAGTCACAGTTAATAAAATGATTTATAATATGAATGTCACGTCTTTCTTTATCTCAATCCCTTCAAGGAAGTTGGGTACTCTCATGTTAAGAAATACGAGAAGATAAGCTGGAAGCATTTATTTTCATAATTATTATTATATATCTATATTTGTTTAAGTTTCCCGGTGAAGGAAGATGCACTGAAAGCATGGCTCAAAGTAGTTCCGGTAAAAGGATCTACTAAATACAAAAAAGTTTGCTCTAACCATTTCAAAAGTCAGGATTTTGTTATCCAAGGAGCCAGAAAGCGCTTAACAGCCAATGCAGTGCCATCAGTTCTAGTAACGGTATGTATTAATTTTAATATAAATGTCATAATACTTCTTACAAATTATAGTAACTACAGTTGAAGCAACAATGTGGCATAGATTTTAATAAAAAAATGGAAGAACAAAGTTTGAAATTCATTGTACAATATTTAACCCGAGCTAAAATTATGATAATTTTTCTTTCTAGTTTTCTTGCATCATCAATCAATTAATTCCATTTTTCTCTCTGCTGGACATAATATGTTATTCCATAACTGCGCTATAAACATAAATAAATAATTAACAACTTCTAGTCCTGGTTAATTACTTATGTTTCTATTACATTAAATGATATTACTATTCCATTAAATTATACTAATTTAATTCTTGAAGTGTAATTTAACAATTCATATTATTTTAGATGCCCATGGAAACTGTGAAGGTGATCAGTAATATTCAAATAAAACCACCAAACATCATGGCTCACCAAGATGTTCCAGCTAATTCAATGAAAATTGATATGTGTTACGAGTCAGTGCCAAATACATCTTCTCAGGAAATCACGTTAAGAAAGCGACCATTATCTGATTTGAGCCCTTCACTCAATATTCCCCAATCGAATAAAAGGAAATGTGTCGCGCATAAGTATGTACAAACATCAAGAGGTAAAGAAAATAGTCAAATAAAAAGAGAAGTTAAAATTCTTAAACAAAAATTAAAACGCAGAGATTTGAAGATTACGTCGATGAAAAATCTTAGTGTAGTGAAAAAAAGGACTGTGCATTATGAAGATATTGAGAGTATCATTAGAGATCATTTTTGCAATATTTATTCAGAATTTAAACCTAAAAATAAATCTAAGATATCACCAGGTGTAAGATATAGCAAGGAACTTAAGCAGTTTGCTCTAACTCTTAATTACTATTCTCCACGGGCATACAGATTCTTGCGCACATGCATTAATTTGCCACATCCTGCTACAATTCGCAAGATGCTTTCTTCTGCAGAGTGTAATGTCGGTTTCCTTAAGGAAGTTTTGAATTTTTAAAATTAAATGTCCAAACGAATCCCGCTTTAATTCATGTTGCCCTGATTTTTGACTCAATGGCTATTAAATCGGAGCTCGTGTATGAGAAAAACTCAGATAAAACTTGGGGTTATGTTGATTTGGGTGGAATTGAAAATGTAGATTCCTATGAAGTGGCGAAAGAATCTTTAATTTTTCAAATAGTGTCTTACACAAGTAGGTTCAAATGCTGTATAGGCTACTTTTTAATAAACAAAATAACAGCTACTATCCAGTCGCAGTTAGTTCATACAGCTATAAAAATGTTGCATGATATCAACATAATCGTTCATTCGATAACATGTGATGGTACTGTGGTAAATCTAAGAACGTAGTAATTTCAGAAGTAATTTCTTGCTTAATTTAACAATTGAGGGTCAAAGTATAATGCAACATCGTAGAAAAACATTCGCTTTAGGTTTTTATGTGAATACGATAAGCTTTTCAAATTTGGCGAAAGATTTACTGACACGTACCATAGATCCTATGAAATATTTTTTTTAACTTATAAGTGCTCACAAGATCATATTGAGATGTTATTTTCCTGCATAAGGGCCCGAGGTGGTGGCAATGACAATCCAAATGCATTGCAACTGAAATACACATTACGTAAATTACTTTTCAAAAATAGTGTAATGCCAAGCGTAAATAGCAATACTTACGATAGTGACTATGAATTAACTCCAATTTTAGAGTTTAGGTCTCCTCAACGTGCAATGCAATTAGGGTCGATTGAACAAGAGAATGAAAGTGAAACATTGATTTCATTGATAAACAATGTCTCGCTTTCCAGTTATCAAAATAATATATTATATTATATAACTGGTTGTATTGTTAAGAATCTCCACAGTAAAATAACATGTGAAGAATGTCAAAATTTGATAAAAGACATAGGTAAAAATGTTGACCACTTATACACAATTGATGTTAATAAGCATTCAGCGTTTACTGCTTTT